ACCCCACTCCACCCTCCCCTCCCTGGCCTTGCGCCTTTTTGGCAGCCTTCTTGACCGGCGTCTGCGGACGGGACCCGGGCGGCGGGGGATAGGGGTGTGTGTGTGTTGGTGTGGTGTGGTGTGGTGGGTGTGGGTGTGAGCGTGTGTGTGGGGGGGGGGGTGGGGGGGGGGGGCAAGAGGAGACGGGAGGTGTCGAGAGCAGGAGCGGGCGAGGAGCCAGACAGGAGCGGGCAGAGAGGAGCTAGAGAGGAGCTGGAGAGGAGCTGGAGAGGGAGAGGGCTTGGGTCGGCACCTTCTTCTCTAGGAAGTGTCTAGGAAGTGTCTAGGAAGTGTCTACGGTCGGCACCTTCTTCGCCGCCGCGAGCTTCGCTGCCGCCGTCTTCTTCGCCGCCGCCGCCGCCTTCTTTGCATCGGCCGCCTGAAGTACACAGGAAGAGTGAAATACGCGTCTCAAAGGCTGGCTAGTTGGAAGGTACCCCGCAGCCTTCAGACCGCAAGGCGGGGTGCGCGTGGGTGAGAGCAGGGTGAGAGAATCACCTTCTTTGCCGCCGCCGCCTTAGCCGCAGCCTGCCTCTTCGCGGCCGTCGCCTTTGCGAGTTTCGCCTTCGCCGCCGCCGCCGCCTTTGCCGCCGCCGCCCTCTTGGCTGCCGCCGCCTTGGCTGCCGCCGCCTTGGCTGCCGCCGCCTTGGCGGCGGAGGGTGACTTGCCGGCAAGCGAGGAGGCACGTGCGGGTGTCGGCTTCCTGGCGGCGGGAGAAGTGGCGCGCGTCTTCGCCTTGGCCGCCTTCTCGGCCGCCGCGGTGGCCGGGAAGAGCCGCGCGTCCGCCGCAGCGATCGCCGCCGCCTGCCTGCTGGCAGCCTTGCTGGGAGAGGGGGTCGCGCGGGTCGGAGGCCGCGGCGCCGCCGTTACCCGGCGAGCGGCCGCCGGCCGGCTCTGCGCGGCGGGGCGGGAGGTCGACCCCTTTGAGGCGCGAGCCTGCGCCGCCCAGCCCCGCAGCACCGCACGCCTCCGCGCAAGTGCCTGTGTTCGAGGAAGTAGAGGAGGCGGGAGCTTACGTTGGGAGGGCGGAGGCGTGCGGAGGCGAGGTGGGGAGGAGAGAGGAGAGGAGAGAGGAGAGGAGAGAGGAGAGGAGAGAGGAGAGGAGAGAGGAGAGGAGAGAGGAGAGGAGAGAGGAGAGGAGAGAGGGCGGAGGGCAGGAGGAAGCCGTCGAGGATGCGGGGGCGAAGAGCTGGCACAAGAGCCGAGAGGTCGAGTGTATATCAGGCTTGCTGATGCCTCCTGTGACGCGCCGCTGCCGGTCGTTGCGCTCGGCTTGTAGCTTGGCGCGACGGCGCGGCGCGGCGCAGCGGCGACGGGGCTGCGGCGACGACGGACGGAGGAGAAGCGCGGGTCGGGCGCGGACGGCGAACTCGCCGCGACCGCCGCGACGGCGAGCGTGACTGCATTTGCAGCGATGGCGGCGTTCGAGAAACTGCCCGCCGCTGCTGACGCCGGCGCCGGAGCCTTTGCCGCCGGCTTGGCCTTGCCGGCCTTGGCGGGAGGCGGCGCCTTTGCGGACTTCCTTGGCGCCGCCTTGACCGCAGCCGCGGTCGACTTGCTCGCCGGCTTGCTCGCCTTCTCGCCCTTCTTCCCCTTGGCTGCCGGAGGCGGTGGCGGCGGCGGAGGAGGAGGAGCAAAGATGGTTTTGGAGGCGAGTAGCGCGAGAACGCCGGCGCCGCCGCCAAGGATGAGGCGACGGTCGGGCGTCTCCTCCTTCTCCGCGACGCTCGCTGCTGCCGGCAGGGCCACCTCGACCTCGACGGTCGTAGCGTCCGTCTCAGCGGCGGCGTTTGTCGCCTCGTCCACAATCGCGTCGTCCGCCACTGGCTCGGAAAGAGAGATGCGGGCGACGCGGTAGGCCGGACGAGCCCGGAGCGGTGCTAGCAATGCGGAGGTGCCCGCCGCGAGGAGCGCAAGAACGAGGAAGCGCATCCTGTGAGGTTCGCAGTGTCGCTGCGGTGGGCCGTGATGTGGTAATCGGCAAAGAGGTACTCGAGTACCTACCCGGTTACGACACTACTGAGCGGTCTCTCTCTCTCTCTCTCTCTCTCTCTCTCTCTCTCTCTCTCTCTCTCTCTCTCTCTCTCTCTCTCTCTCTCTCTCTCTCAGTGCGAGCCGCTCGCGGTTCGTACGCCCGCTTGCGGGTTCGAGTGGCGGGCTATCCCGCTTGCGGGATGGCTTAGCGGGTTCGAGCCGTCACACATTGTCTGCCGGGGTGTGCCTAGGGGGGTCTGGGTGGCCGGTAAGCCGTCATTGCCCGGCGCTACTTGCAGCGCTCTGAGTGGTAGTGGCGGCACTCCCAGAGTGGTGCTCTTGAGAAGAGGTTCCTCTTTTCCGCTCCCCCCCCGCAAGGGGGGAGACACACATTTTTTTTTTCCCCCCCCCCCCCCCTCTCTGTGTGTATGTACTCACTCAGTCAGTCAGGGTCGTTCGTTTCTCTCTCGTTATGAAAGACGGAAAAACCTCATTGGTCGAAGGAAGGTCGGTCGGTTTCCCGCCTTGCATTTCTCTAGTCTAGGAGGAACGAATACAAACAAATAAGTACGCGTGCGGCTCGCGGACATGCACAATCAGCGACCCGCGGGGGGGGAGGGGGGGGGGGGGTGAGATATGGTAATTGGCGTGTGTGAGTGTGTGTGTGTGTGTGTCACACTCACTCACTCTCTGCAACGTGTGCCAGATAGATAGATAGGAAGGCGCATGTGTCATCGTACGTTCTCCGAGACACGAGATTATGGGAGGACAGGTACGGTCCTCCACGATCCTAAGGATCATCGCGACCCAACGGCGGGGGCGGGCGTCTCTCGCAGATAGATAAAACTTCTGAAGCCATCCGTGCTCGACCACTTGCACAATCAGCGACCCTTCCTTCTTTCTTTCTTTCTTCAATCTTGCGTCTTCTTGCTTTTTGGATTCCTGGATTCTGCCAGGCACAGGCACAAAGCGGAATAAGGTCGGAGACAGTCAATTATCAGGCAGTTATTGGGCCAGGAGGGGCGGTCGGTCGGGCGGGCGGGGGGGGGGGGGAGGGGGGTCGGACGGGGGTCGAATCGAGCTCTATGCGCTCGCGAGGAGGTCATCCGTGAGGACCTCTGTGGCCGTGAGGACCTCTTAGCTTACCTGCCAGTGAGGACCTTCTCGCGCTCTATCTCTCTGTCTCGCGCCCTCGGTGGGGTAGCAGGTGGTTGCTCTCTCTGGGTTTGAACGACGTGCCTCATCGAGAGCCGCAGACGAAGAGGTCCTCATCCTTCAAGAGGTCCTCAGAGGCAAGAGGTCCTCATCAAAGAGGTCCTCAAATGCAGCGTGTGACAGTAACTCGCAGCGTGCGTAATTTAAATGCGGCATGTTCCGGGGCGGCCAGCGCTGCATCACATTCATTCAGCCAAGTTTTTTGTTTGCAAACCACCCACGGGCACGCCAGTCAGTCATCCTGTGCTGCCAGCCATCCAACACAGAGACAAAAGTCCGCAAAGGAGCGTAGATGATAGAGAGATATGTCACAGATGTTCTTTCAAATGTGCTGATCACATGCAGCGCTGCATCACATTCAGTCAGCCACGTGTTTTGTTTGCCAACCACCCGACGCCAGTCAGTCATCCTGTGCTGCCAGCCAAATCTTCCAACACAGACGAGACAAAATTCCGCAAAAGGAGCGTAGATGATAGAGAGATCATGTCACATACAGTAATCAGTATGTTCTTTGAGATGTGCTGATAGAAGATGTGCAAAAAAATTGCATCATCGCAAACCCTTTCATCTCTCAAAGTGTCCATCTCCGGTATGTGTTCAGAGGCTGGTTGGGAACGACTGCTGCTGCTGCCTCCGGACTGCCTGAGCACTGCACTGCTGCGTGCGAACCAGGCTGCGTGCGGTCGGGCGTCTCCCTCGCGGCCCTCCCTGTACTTGCTATGTCACAAACTGACAAACTCTCAAGAGCGACGGCCTGAATACACACACCGAGGTCTCCCCGGCATAGAGATCAAACCGGAGGCGCTGTTCAGCACGAATGAATGAAACGTACGTTACGTGGCGCGACCCCGCAGACCCGGTGGCAAACCACCGGGCGTACGCGCCGCGCCCTCCGCGCGCAAATGATGCATGCCTCTCCCCGTTTTAGATTGGGCCGTGTGCGTCGAGCAGCCTCTGCGTCATCGGCCCATAGTAAACCTTGCTCCAGACGTTGCCATCGGGGAACTCAAGCCTGGCGAGGACAGGGAAACTGTGGGGTGGTACGGTGTGACGCGCAGTGACCAGCGTCCCCTCTCATCGCGCATTCTCATGGCGTACAGAGAATGACGATGCGGATCAGCCGAGTGCAGCCCACACTGCGGCGTCTCTCTAGGTGCCAGAGGTTGCTTGGCAGAGCTAGTTCTAGGTTTGTACTCTGCTGCGTCTAGGTGCTCATGCCCAGTGACGCCATTCTTGAAGACCTTCTTCGCCAGCAGGTCGGTGGGGCCGCCCTTTGGCGAAAAGTCGATGGTGAGGCTCTTGCCGTCCTTGGCCATCGTGCCGGTGAGGGTGAACTCCTTGAAGTTCGCGCAGGTGGTGGAGGTGTCGTTTGGGCCTCCGCAGAACCGCTGCTCGTCCGAGCCCTTGATCTCGACGTCGCCGAAGCCGGTCACGAGGACGCGGCGGTAGCCTTGCGGGTGCGCCGGGTCGGTGAAGTCGCCGTTGAAGGCCTGCGCCAGCCGGACGTTGTACGGCTCGAGCACCTGCGTCTTGACGCACGACGACTTGGCACCAGTCTTGTCGGCCGACCGCCAGTTGCACGTCCCTTTGTTGGGGTCGTTCTTGTACTGCGGCAGCTTGACCGTCGGCGTGGCCTTGCCCGGTGCATCGCCGACCGGAACCTGAAGCGATGAAGTAAAGGCCGTAAGTGGCGATGTATCGCTATAGGCTGCTCGCTAGACTGCTGCTAGGCTGGTCGCCTGCTCGCCCAGCGGGACGGGGGAGATGACGGGCTTCTCGTCCGCCGTCGCCACCAGCGGCACGCCGAGCGACAGCGCGCTCGCAGCGCCGACCAGGGCTGCGCGGCGGCCTGGCTCGGGCGGCGGCAGCGTGAAGCCGACATGGATTGCGGAGCAGAGCGCCAGCATATATGGTGCCGAAGGGGTGTCAGGCTCGAAAAGAAGAAAAATCACCATTGTCAACACACCCCACGCACCAACAGTATTGTCTTTGAACTCATCCCCTTACCTACTTCGATTGACCAGGTCGAGAGCGAGTAAACGCAAACCGCTCGTCCAAGCAAGAATCCACAGAAGAGCAGTAAGTACGAGCGCGAGGCCCTGCAATTTGGTCAGGCCTCGACGGTACGTCGAGGACGCTAATTTTGAGTGACAGGGCGGCGGCTATGGCCTATGCGAGCAGTGTTCGTGAGGACCTCTGGCTGAGGACCTCCCCCCCCCCTGAGGACCTCCTCTGCAAAGGGCCCCTCCGTACTTCGACGCGGCTGTTCGCGTAGAGGAGGTAGAGAGGGAGAGGTTGTATTGAGTAATGCGTCCTTCTTGCGGTACAAACCGAAGAGAGACCCTCAGCCTCGCCGCCGCGGGTGCGGCGGCCAAGCCTGACATGCGTTGAGTGATAGCCTCTCCGACCCTGTGAGAGGACCTCTGGTTGAGGACCTCTCCTGAGGACCTCTGGCTGAGCACCTCTATTTTTGTGATTACCACGCCTCTTGCGCCACGAGGAGCTTGCTCGCGAGGTGCAGCACAGACAGGCGGGCAGAGGCAAGGTTGAGTGAGGCCGCTCTGCACTTGCAGCAACAGCAATGAAAGCAAATATTTACGTCTAGGGTCGTCGAGAAGTTGCCGTGAATAATGTGCGTAATGTGTGCCGATGTATGCTTGTGCGTTCGCCACCTGCCTCGCGATTTTTGTATACGCTAATACGCTTACCCGCCCGTGTTAGTTAGTCTGCCACTGCGTGCCAGTCGCGTGCGCACCGCCCAGTCTTTTCCCATCGTCGCGGGTGTGCCGACGTGTGTTTGTGCTAGTGTGCGCCAGTGAGCCGGAGGACGATTTTAATTCTTAGGGAACCTCGCCGGTGTGTGTGAGTGAGTATTCTTGATAAGAAACCACGACGACACACACCAGTCGACTCGCATCGGTTGCCTCCATGAACGGCGGAGCTATTCTCGCGCCCACACCACACCTGGCTCCAACGTGGACACGCCCATAGCTGGGGACACTACTAGGTCACGCATGGCATCACAGAAGTTTTATCTCTGGGCCCCGAAAGGCATCTCTAGCAGTGTCGTTACACATGCCCCCTCCCCTCCTGGGCGCATGCGCCTCACGTCTCGCCAGAGCATAAGCCCTTGGCGTGTGGCGAGACGAGTTTTTCGCCATCGCCGCGAGCAGCAAGCCGCCCGCCGCAAACAGCCGGAGGCCTCGCCGCGGCACTGGCTGCGCCGCGGTCCCGCACCCAGGCGTAGATCTTAGCTAACGAAACACACGCTAGCTATGGACAGGGTCGGACTGTGTGCTAGTCCGAGACCTACGGCCCCAGGGAAGAGAACCCTGGTGCACCTGTTCGCGGGGTTCCGCCCCACTAAGCAGGGCAACCTCTCTCGAGGCGGCTAGACTCTATCTCAAGCTCTCGCCCACCCGTGTCGAGTCGTTACACGTCCCCACGTCTCGTGCTAGCCGAGCCACCCGGCCGAGCCCAAGGAGGCTATCCATTCGAGACAGACCTGCCCCGAGACGGCTTCGGTGGACGGCCTTGCACCGCGGGGTTCGCTCGGTATGGCCCCGATCCCCCGCCCCTCTGGGGAGAGGTGCCTGCAAGCAGGCTGGCGGGCTCTCGTGTCCTAGGGCTTCTACCGAATTTCCGGGTGTCGCCTCGCCTGGGGCACCGACTCTCTGCCCCGCGCGCCGCCAGCCGCTCCCGCCGGCCTCGCCGACCAGCCGCTCAAGGCGGCCCCGTCGGGCGGCTACGCGGTGCGGCCCCGCGGCGCAGGCATGCAGAGCGGTGGGAGGTATCCCCCAGACAGACTTGCAGCGTCCCCCCCACGGCGGCGCTGTGCACTATCAGCGCCGCCGGGACGCCACCGACGGTGTTCGGGTCCCGGGCCCCTGTCCGGTCCCGGGCCCTCGCCCCTAGTGCGGGCGTGCGTCGGCGTGTGCCGTTCAGCTCGGGGGCCTCCCTGCTCGCCGAGCTAGGGCAACGAGGAGGATCTCGAGCGGGAGCACGGGGATGTAGAAGAGTAGGTAGTCGTCCAGGTTGCCTAGTTAGGTAGTAGTCGTCGAGCGCGTACAGGTACTCGTCGCTCATGCCGAGGTGGTAGTAGACGGTCATGCCGGCGGGGTGGCGGATGATTCTGCGGCTACCACCTACGGTAGCCGCCAGAGCGGCCGAAGCCGCCGAAGCCACCGCCCCGTGCTGGGGGGTGGTGCGCTCACACACACACACACACACTCCTCGCCGGCCCGTGAATTAATAAATAAGGTGTGAGCTGGTCGCAGCGGGTGCACAGCAGCGCCGCGCGCCGCTCGCCGGCGCGACGCCTCCCGCCCTTCTAGGCCGATCGGCCCGCGCGTTTAGAGTGACAGTTGCCGCGCTATGCCCTCCACCGGCCATGGCGCCTCGGGCGTGGCGGGCGGCATGCGGCGCCGGCCGATTGACGTCAACAAAAAGTTGCCGCTGATGCGCTCGAACCAGGAGCTCGCGCTGGATGAAGACGCGACGCTGGTGCAGAACGATCAGGCGCGGCCCGCCCTCCGCAACCCTCCCGCGCCCTCCCGCCTCACCGGGGGGCATGCAGCGGCAGCGGCCGCTGGCGCCGCGAGCGCCGACGCAAGCCCGCCCGCGCCGCGCGCGCCTCTGCACGCGATGTGTCCGAGCCACCGGCGCGGTGTGTTGTGCGCAGGAGGAGGACACAATCAACACCACCGAGCTGCAGACCAAGCTCAAGGACATCCCCGTCCCCGTCTCCCTCCCGCAAGAGCGGATCAAGCGCGAAGGCGCGCGGCGGACGCTTCCGAGACACTTCCGAGACACCTCCGAGAGGCGTCCGGCACGCACGCTCAGTTATCGCACGCTCGAGCGGCGAGCGCAGTGCTCTGGACGCCGCCTCTAGCCGCGAGCGTCCGACCTTCTCTCGCCTCGATCCAACCGCCGCCGCCCCCGCCCCCCTACCCAGCCCCACCCCCCCAGCCCCCCAGCCCCACCCCCCTCC